CCCAGCAGTTCAGATTCAAGAATTCAGTCTTCCAGAAAAGTCAAAAACTAAATCTGAGGTACATCTGACTTACCAGAATTGCAATTTAAGACAGTTTTCCTTAACTGCCTGCATTTTTTTTTTATTTTTTTTTTTAATGCAAGTTAACTGTTACACTAGCTCAGCAGAATTAGTACATATTAGACAACAGCATGAGTCTGAGGAAGGAAGTCTCATTAGCTTAAAAATTCAGATGAGTTCAGATGCATTCTTCTAGGTCTTACATCCCAAAACATGAGGTAAGGCGCTCAGCTTTTACCACATTTTTAAGTGGAAATCTAAGCTTATTCTGTTGATAAACTCTCCATCAGCATAATAAACATTTAAGGAAGTTCACAGTTCAAAATTATTTGTCCTAACACCACTTCAGAAGATCAACCTGATTTCTTTAGCAAATTATAAGGCCACGAGCTTAACAGCATACATGTTTCTGAGAAACTCACGAGTAGTCAGGTCAGGAGCTAGAAGGCTACAGAAAAAAGTAGTTTCAAATGACTCCTTCCCCTGCTTTCTCTTTATTTTAGCCTTACCTGACAATACATACAATATTACTGTTACATCTACCAAAAGTAATGATAGGAGATGAATATGAAGTTAAACATGCAAGACTGCATGCAATTAACAACATGACAGATCACCGGCTTATGAACTTTTAAGGTTATCATACACAAACGTATCAGAAAAATATTGTAAGTCTTTAGAATCTGATGCAGCTGACCTCCTGTTTCAGAGCAACTCACAACTGACTCCTTTTTAACAACTGTAGATATATCCAGTCAACACCTACAAGATTCACATCTGACCGCCTGCTTCATGAAATGCAGTTCTTCCACCAACAAACTCAGCATGATCTTCACTCACCCACTAGAACAGTGGGATTTTTAGGCTTACAGTAGCACTACCATTTTCTTGTTGAATACTATAGTCCAGACCTATCTGTCCTATGTCCCTTGTTTCTGGTATAGCATCTGGAAGCATCTCATCATTTTGTATATGACCAATACACACCCATTTTAAGATGGACCTCATTAAAGTGCCAGAACTGGAAGATTTTAAAGATACCCTTTATGTTGGTCCCTAGATAATAATTAACAGGGGGAAGTACATTTCACTCCAGGATGCAACTTCCAGTAGAACCAGAAAAGAAACAAGACTAGAGCAAAATAAAACATAGGCTTACCTGCATCTGTGAATGACTGTATATCATATGTTAAATCAATCTTAGTACTTTCTGTGCTTTCCAATTTCTTGAATATGATTCCCAGAAACCACATTGACACATAGCGACTCCTAGAGAGACAGATTCAGAAATCTATCATTTATGCAGACATGCCAAGTATGCTGATGAGTAGTCTCAACAAAGGATTGAGACAACAGCTTGGCTGTACACAGCAATTAAATACTGAAGTCAGCCCTTACTTAAGCTCCAAGTACTTTTCTTGGAAGTTTGCCCTTCTTGAAAAAATCCTAAGTGTTCAGAATCTTGCACCTACAGAGCAGTAGGTACACAGCAGAACATGCTGGACAAGTTGAGATAAATGAATGTAAACAAGTTAATACAATGGCTAAACTGTATTTAAGAGTAACGACACTCACTGTTTACAGTGTTCTTGGTTGCCAGGGAAAGACTGCGGATTTACGTGTGCGATATTTATAAATTCATTCCTTTCCAAGTTCCCAACAAGCACGCGAATTTTAGATTCAACGAGGCCGACCCTAAGAACAAGAAACACTGGCTCAGCTTTACCGTGCCCAGAAGAGTAATTATGTCTTTTTATAACGTAATGCTAATCAACCAAAAAGGAATAAGCTCCTTCCAGCTGAAAAGACAGGAGATCACACACTGCAGTTTGAGACTAACCCAGTGATAGCCGAGCTTTAGAGTTTCCGAAGACTAAAGTTTACCTACTTGTAGTCTGTGATGAAAATAAAAACATTTCCATCAGAATTGTGGGAGTATAGTCAGCACATCCCAGCATCTCTACCTGCATCTCAAAGTAGGCAAAACTCTAAAGATCACCAGGATGAGCAGTTCAGAAAGAAAATCAAGGACAATCGCATTTGTGTGAAGACGGAATTCCTACAGATTAAACACAGAAGTTTACCCTCCTCAAACCAAACAGAAAATGTAGTTCCTATAATTAAGATACAAGTCACTTTAACTTCAAGACACAAACCATGCCCACAGAGTAATGCCACTTCACCCTTTTACCCAAGAACACCACTAACTTTGAAAGCAGTTAAAAATCTACAGGAAATAAACTAATGAACAACAGATGTGTTGTCTACTCCCAAATCCAACCAAGAGCTATGAACTTAAAGCAAACTGAAACAAGTCCATCTATTGCTTTTATGTTTCCACAGATACACAATCAAGCCTCATTTGACTCAATTTCTACCACTAAAAAACTTCAGCTCTTACTGAAGTCAGAATTTTCTTCATCTTGCAAGCAAGATATTTGGATGCAAACTTTGTTGTATTAAAAAAAAAAAAAAAAATACATCATAGTTCCTTAAGCCCTCCACCCATAAATCCTTGTTGTACTTAATTGTGACTGACACAAAGCTGTAGCTGATACAACTGAAGTGGACAGATTCCAAAGTTCAGAGAACATTTCAAAATAGTTAACAGGGAATATAAAATACTTAACATATAACACACTGCAAAGCTAAGAATGAAGTCACAGTACCTTAATTCCTCACCTACTACTCCTCGCTTCAACATACATAAAGTTTTTCAGCACATGATGGCCAGAATTTTTGTTGTATCTCCCTTAAGGCAGTGCCAAACATCACATCATAAGCAGTGGCTTCCTCCAATTGTAACTGAGGCTGTTCTCACAAAGTTTTGCAAAGCAGATCAGCACTTCTACAGCTTACTTATACACTACCAGTCATACTGAAGTGCTGATTTTCAGCACAAAATGTAACGGGTCTGAACGCATAATAGCTTAAAACCTCAGTAAATATGTTTTACAACAGATGCTCTGCACTGTCAAGCAGATGCCTCACTCAGATGAAACAGTATTGTTTGACTTCAATGGAGGAAAAAGCAGGCTCTGAAGTTAGGTGACTACCAAGCTGGAGCAAATTAGCATTCAAGAACAATTTCATTGTAAATCACATATTACATCTAATAAACAAGCTATAAATTAATTCTTTCAAGGTTACAGAGTGGTTGTATTGAAAGCTGGAATTGTGCACAAGACAATCCGTTAATACACAGAAAGAAAATTAGAATTTCAGTAAAGTGTAACTTGAAAATAATACATATATTGGGGGTGCACTGACCACTGCTCTTCAAGTCTGTAAAATACCTGGCTCTCCAGTGGCTGTTACAGACCTGGTCACATCAAGTAATCCCTGTTTGATAGAGCCTTTGCAACAAGGAACCTCCTAACTGAAGATGTGTTGATGCTTGTAAGGAGACACATCTGCTGTTCCAGATGATGCAGAACACCTGACCTTCATGTATATTGCACACTAGTGCTGCTCTCCCTCATTGTGACTCAGATCTTCACGATAACTCCACAAAACAGTAAGATTTACACTAGTTTTCTTTTACAAGATAGATAGTTTTTCATTTAGTAGATAATGCCACATTTCACAGTTTAATATTTAATTTGTTAATACAGTTAAAGTGCAACAATTACTTGTATTTCAATTGTGTACCAAGCCCAAGTTTTCAAGCCTTACCATTCTAAGTGATGCTCTTCAGTACAGGTGCTAGCAGTCAGTACAATATAATGCCTACAGTAAGAACAGAAATATACTGGCTGAGGACTTTATTCCTTGAAACAAAGTCAAAACTTATATATAGATAACATGACATCTAGATAAGACAGTAATGTAAGTATGTAAGGTTGTATCCTGTATTCAGCACAGTATTAACTGTGAAATGAAAAAGTTACTACATTCTTTAGAGTCGCATTCTGTTATTACATTCAAAACACTGCAATTGATCTTCTAATTAGAAAACCAGCTGGTAACACAACAGTTTCTGCATCGCCCCTGCGTTAATCCTTATTACAAATCTAATACCAGTTCCAGTAGGTAAAAAGTAAACATTAACGTCATCTATTTAGATAACATTCCAGTCTTTCACCAGTACCTAAATCATTCCAAGTTCAGAAAACAGATTTCATACATACTTGTATTTCTGAAAGAAGTTTGGTTGTTCAAAGAGCTTTGGCCAATCTGACTTTCCTTGGAGAATCTCATTTGTAACTGCGAGACCTACAGTTGACATTGCAAAAATATGATAAAAACACGATACAAACTCTACAAGATAAAAGTTTTGAACATTAATAGATGAAAAGCAAGAATTCCCTTGACACAAAGCAAGCGTACTACAATGTTTTGTTGTAAAACTGGGTTGGTCAGCAATTCAAGATCTTTTCCCTGTGGTCCATCCTACCTGAAGGAGCAGGACATTTCATGAAACATAACCAACTCAAACAACGCTTCCACACAGTAAACATTATACTTTTTAATCAGTTAATAAGCACAGAAAGAACTTTATTTTTACCATGTTTGAGCTCCTCTACCACTACAGCTCGTGTTGATGTAGATACATTGTATGTGGAGTTCTGCTGTGGGTAGGCTGGGGTGATGATTGGCATTACATGGTACCTGTCTGATGGGTTGACCTAAGGTGTTAAAACAGTTCTGTTCAGCATCAGTTTAATCCACAAGAAAGTTTTAAGGCTTTTGTATTTAATTTCTGCATACCCTAGGATCCCATACTGGTAAATTAAGATTATTCTCTTCAGGTTGTTTCAGCAGTACAGGATTTGGCCATTCCCTATAAAAGATAACCCATTAACTGATAAACAACTGTCCATTTTAAAACTCAGACATGTAATTCAGGCTAGGACTGAATGTTGTTAATACCATTTTTAAGGAACTAGCTTTAAAAAGGTTACTACTTTATAGACTGTAACTGGCATAAGCAATAGCTCTTACCATTTTGAAAAAATCAAGAAGAACTTGTTCACAAGAGTAGAAGCCAATGCATTTGGATGGAGTTGACACGTTCTTGCTACTAGCATTGCCCAAGAAACCCCACCAAGAAATCCCAGCATGTTGGAATAAATACCACGTCCTAGAAAGGATACTTTGCAGTTAGCCTATTCTTACATCCCTTCAAATTTACAGCACAGACTTCACAAGATCATGTAGCACAGAAAAAAAAAAAAAAAAAGCAGCTAAGAAGGGTTGGTTCTTACATTGATAAATAATCATTACTACACCATTTCCCAAAATATTACTGCTCTGAAATCTGCTTATACTGTTAAAGATATTGTTTTGCCCTGATTTCTTTTCCAGGAGGGTGAAGAGGTACAAAAAAAAAAAAAAAAAAAAAAAAAAAAAAAGTTCTGCCATTGTTCCAGCACTTGCTATAACTACACTCCCATAAGATATTACGATATTTCCCAATTCATTATTTATCAAGGATTCTGGATAAACTTGGCTTCCTTTTTACCATTCGTAGTCAGGTTCCCAATAAGAATCTTATCTTGTTATGTCTATTGCCCAGAAAAAAAAAACAACTAACATTTAAAAGAATTGTCTGAAGTATTTCTAATGATTTTTAACTTCCTTTCCAGCATGAAGCTCCCCCCCAAAATTTCAAAGATCATAAAATCACATTGCTCACGTTTTGCCCACAGTTTAATTGCACGGAGTGTGAGCTGGAAGTTCTCTTTATTTGGTACTAGATGCAATATTTCATCAGTAACTCTGCACCCTGTAAAAAAGAAAAAAAAAAAAAAAAAGTTAAGTACCAAAGTTTGCAGTAACAGCTACAGGTCCATTTCATGTTTGATACAATTCATACGTATGACATGATTTTGTTATTTTGGATCAATTGCTTACAACTTAATACTCAAGTCTAAAAACAACTCTGGATCACTTGTTTTGCATTACCTGGATTACACCTACATTCAGGATCACTTTGGATAACTGATACAACTTTTTTTTTTTTTTTTTTTTTTTTTTTTTTTTTTAAGACTCCAGCCAGTAAATTTTAATATGGCCTTTCTACACTTATTCTGAAAGTTAGCTTTCTTTCAACAGCTGTATCTGTTGGTATTGGTGAGGATTCAGGTATCCTCAATATCTTTATTTTTAGTAATCACAATGCCTCTTTCTCTATCAAGTGCTTCACTTATTCACTTGGAGAAACTCCGTGGTACACTGTAAGAATGCACATCACAACCAATGGAACAGGAGATACAGGCTTACCTACTCACTACTAAGGAAAGCATTTAAATTTAAAGCCCACCGTCACCCCCTCAGATTTTAAGTATACTGAGATCAGTTTCTGCACCTCACACAGACGCTTGGATGAAGTAACATGCATTCCATACCAGTTTTAGTAGCATCTTTCTGAAGATGCACGAACACACTTACCATTTAGGCTCCGTATACATCTTATATCCAGGCTTCTGAGACGCGAGTCATCTCTGAGATCAAGATTATCAGAAACAGTTTGCACAGGCAGTCTTGCAAACACGAGATCAATCTTAAAGAAGTATCAAACAAAAAAGTTGCTTGAAGCTTATTTACAAATTCTACAATGCATCACTTCTTTCTAGCTTACATAAAAAAGTTTGGGAAAAGATTTTGGTGATTTTTTGATTATTTTTTTTTTGGGGGGGTGTTTTAAGACTCTGAACTTAGATTTCCCTTTAAAAAGCAAAGTTGCACCTTAACTCCATGACCTCAACTACAGCAGACAGCATTATGTGTGGTAACCCCTTCTGAGCCTATGTTATTTAGTACAACCTAAGTTAAGAAAATGTCTTTACATGACAAAAGCCACATGTCTTTACATGACAAAAGATGATAAAAAAACTATTATTTAATGATAGTGATATCAAGCAGTAACATGCTTGGGTACTTCAACACACACCTGCCTTCATTTAATGGAAAACATTTATTCAAGATACAAGGATTCCTACAACCAACAAATGTAGGCAGAAATCAAGCAAATACTTCCTCATTTTGTCCTGTTGCATTTATTTGTTACTTTTTTCCCCCCATTTGCAATAGCATGTTTATTACTGTGCCCACAATTCATACAGTGAAATACACAACACACAGCCTTTTGAAGAAAGCTAGCTTGTCACAGCCAAGAAGAATTAGCAAAGCCTCAGCCTTTATTTCCAGTATGCACAGTCCTTGTGAGATGGAAACAATTCAAGCAGGCAAACCTGGCCTACAGCACACATCTAGAATAAAACATCCTTGATTTTCTTACGTGTGCCAGGCTTCCTAAGGACTTACTTTTCTCCAAACTCCATTTCAGCTGTAATGTCTTCCCCTGGACTGTGGTACAGCTGTTCTCCTACATCTTTCTAAAAACCCTAAGGTACCAAAACCCTGGTAAAATTTTCAGAGACCTGTGATGATGCTAAGTTATCCTATTGCAAAGGACAAAAAAGAATTCTTACCTCAATGCCATCAAACTCAAACTTAACAACAGGTACATATGCATCTTCTACTGCCTAGGAAGGAGAGGATAATTAAAAACCCCCTTTTGCTACTTTGTCATTTTCCTCAGACCACAAAGAAATAAAGAATTTATAGTACTCATATAAGTACTGAGTTGCCTCTGAACCAACAAAATTGGATAAGCTGCAGGCAGTATTGTACTGATACTAAAGTTATTTAAGCTCATTGCTTATACATATGAAGTTTTTCCAATGTGACTGCCAGAGGAAAACTAAGGTAGGGAAGCACTTCTCCATTCCTAAGGCTTGGACAGCAAAAAAACTATCGCATAGACTGTCCCCATAACTTAAAGCAGGAGGCCACATATGCTAGCACTTTTGCTAAATAAGAAGCTTGGCCTCAACTGACTCAAACTGACTTTGATCAAACTGACTCAACTGACTTTTTCCAAGAAAAATGTCAACGTATAATAAAGATTAGAAAGCTTACAACTTGAATTTGTTTGTTTTTAAGAACAGAGCAGACAAGAATGAACAAGCATAGCCTCCAATCTTAATGTAAGCATAAGAGCTATGCTTATTAGCTCATGTTTCTAGGAGAAACAACTGAAGGACAGCCATTCCAGGTGCTTAGTGCCCACCCCCCACAGGAACAAAGCCTCTCTTTCCTTCTATGTTTAGCTAGAGTCAGACTGCAAGCAGCATTCAGGTAAGACTGCTACATCTAGGGATAAGCAATTCAGGCATCCTGCAAACAAAACAAGTGACATGAAAATAAAAGGATGCATGAAATATTTGATTAAATTCTAACATATAAAAAAATAGGTAAGAAAACATCCAGCAGCCTGCAGGGAAAGTAACCAGTGCAAAGCAAACTAGCCTCTGCTCAGCAAAAGGCCACGTGACTGCTGGCCTACAGTGGAGACCAAAGGCTAGCACCAGAGTACAACTCATAAGGGCAAAATTCCCCACCTTCTCAAAAACGTTCACACATTCACTTCTCTTCTCAAACTAATGACCCGAAATATCCTTCAAATCTTATTACAGCACTCAAAAACATGGACTTCTTGGAGACTTAGTACCAGGAATCACTAACTCAACAAGTGAAGCACAAGCTGATGTCAAAGATTTAACTCTGGTGACAATCAATGCTAAACGGCTGTTCTAGAAGCACCTTTGGTATTATCCACTAGATCTGCCAAAGCAAACAGCTGTTTTTAAAAATAAGTTTTTACAGCTTAGCTGTGAAATAGTATCATGATATTTTGAGTAAAGATCGTATCTGTGTTGATTAGCCATACAGACAGAAGTCTGAAGATCCTTCACCTCCTATAGAAGATACACACCATCATGGCACAACACCTTCACTAGATACTTGAGTAATACATACCTTAAGGCCTTGATTAGAATAACATTTATAGTATTTTCACTTCCCTCCCCCAAGGAAGATGGTATTACCCCCTGCTCAGAAGTTGGCAGGTCAGGAGTTCAGTTTTATATGTAAGACATGCAACATTCTGGAAGTGATTTTACAAAGCAGCAATGTTTACATACGCTTACATGTGCCCCCATGAGCGTTATATACAGCTGTTCATATGCATCAATGCTGCAAAATCTCAAGCTAAGTACCCAGAAAAGAAAAGGAGACAAATGATTTGAAAATACTGAAGCAAATCCAGCCCTATGAAGTACTGACAGAAGCCTTTCTACATCATATTCATCTACCTTAAATTTAAGCTGACCCTTCTGCTTTCTACATGCAAGTAATAACCTCATTTCCAAGCCCCTCACAGCATCTAAAATTAAAGCAAAACCCTTAGTGGCAAATTCAGTGTTTGCTAAAGCCGGGTATATGGACAAGTGTACCACAAAGATCCCCACTATGTACAGCCACTGGGAAAAGGAACCAAAAGCTTGGCTTCAACATTTTCACACCACAAAAAATATTGTTTAAAATGGTCAAGAACTTGAAATATATTCACTACTAATGTGAATATCAAACAACTGTTCCTATTTGTAGAAGTAACAGTCTATGAGGAAGAGCTTACTTACTCTTAGATTTTTTATCTCTTCCTGATGCTTTAGTTTTTCAAAGAATGACTGAAAGAAATCTGATCTTTCCACATGTCTAGGAGCAACACAAAGAGCATCTATGTCAGCACCTGCAGAGAGATTCAATTTCTCCTATTACTGTTGGTAGCCACTATCAATCATTAAAACTACTATCAGATAATTAGAACTTTACCTTTGGTGTGTACTCCAAGCCTGTAAGAACCAAACGTAAATATTCTGCCACCAACATTTTCTACCACCGAAGGGGGAAGGTTCTGCAGGTAGAAGAAAGTTCTCTTTAGAATATAATACTGACTGAACTATGTGCAGGTTTAATTAGAATGAGTTACTTTGAATACATCCTTAAATGTGGCTTTCCACTCCTGTACTGCGTTGTCAGTCAAGTCTCCAACAGACTAATACTTTTTTTTCTAAAGTAAGCACTTGCAACTCAAAAAAGCATGAGCAATGCAGCAGTCCTTTAATTATTTTTATACAAATTAAGACCTACTATTAGCCCTTCCTGCAGAAGAAGCACTTTAATTAACATTATCTTATACAATAGGCAAGTCTAGCATAATTTCATATTAGATTGAGTTCCTCAAGCTGTTTGGGGCAAAAATTGGTGCCCATTTAACTTCCATTTGACTCCCCAGAAACGTTCATCTTTGTTAACTGCTACAACCAATTGATACAGCTGCTTCACAAGTTTATTCACTGCCTCAAAGACTTCAAGATCTCGATATGAATAATCTTTTCCACCATATTTCAGTGCCAGTTACCATAGCTCTGCTTGACACTTAAGAGTAAAGACGTAAGTTGAGCGTAAGTCAGTAGTGCGACATCAATAGAAACAATGAGGCTTCAGTTTTTTCAATAAGAGCATAATAAGAATTCCTACCTTGCTCTCACCAAGTTCAAAAATCCATTCTTTGACCAAGTTATTCAGTTTACAAAGAACCACCAGCCTGCAAATAAAACTCACATTAAATCTGGTCTCAAAAAAAAAATAAAAATAAAAAAAATAAAAAAAATCAAGAGATTAACTAATATTTGTGTTTTTATACCTGTGATTCAATTCCTCCTCATCTTCAAATACTCCAAATGACTCCATTGCTTCAACTAGCTTCTGAGTATGAATATAATCTACATCCTTTGGAGGAGCCAAGCTAACTGGAGAGGTAATTCCATAGTGCCTGTGTGGCTGGTTCTGCAGCATAGAAGTACTATGGGAGAAAAAAAAAATACTGAAGACGTGACAGAAGCAAAACATACAAAAAGAAACAAACCAAAACCTCACTAATATCTTCCACCTTACAGGTTTCCAAATCAATTTCTGCTCACCATTAATATCGATAAGAAAACCATTTAGATGAGTTTTTAAGGTGCTCTGATTGCAAGTGTTAAGTTATTAATACTGAGAGTCAAAACCATTAAAGAAACCACAGTTATGAATATTAAATACATCCTAAGTTACTTCGACCTTAATGCATTTTATATGGATCGTCGTAAACAGAACAAATCACTAGGAAATAAGATCTGATATCCATAAAGGGCAACCCTGTCTACAGCAGAAGTTCTAGATACATTTCTGTTTCACACTGTTTAACTTAAGCTACTCCCACCAGATTCCTGCTAACATTAATCAAAACAATTTACGACAAGCTCCTTGTAGTCACATTGAAGCACGATACCACAATAGCAAACTGCAAGATAGAAAAAAACAGATTTGCCATGCTTCTACTGATGTTGAAAGGGTATTACACTTCAGTGTAAAGGAGGACAGAAAATGGCATGGTCTACTCAACAGAGTCGATGCTGAAGATTCAGTGCTCTCTTATTTTGTTCAGGGAAGAACATGAATGAAAACTATCAACCAATCTGCAGCTTATGCAGAGCCTTGTGCTCTTAACAATGTCCAACTTCTATAGTTCAGAAGTCTTAGCTGTACGTGCACAGACATTTATATTATATATATAAAATATCAGCTGGGTTAGTCAACAAGTTGTGAAAACATTCAGGTACCCAATACGTTCAGCTGACATGGGAAGACCCACAAGACAATTTCAATGGCTGACCTAAAGGAGCCATAGAAACTGATTGCTTGCTTTTAAATTTTCAATCATTGTCTTCACTCCTCCACTGAGGGAAGAAGGATTTATCTCCGTGCAGCTTTATCTAACTGTAGCTGCAGCTTTTAGTTGTGGACGCTTTCTGGTGGCTTTTTTTTTTTAAACTCTTTCCCTCATTCTTTCTCGTGGCCTTGTTTCTCAAATGAAGTGTCTGCTACTATGTTTTTAAAAAGCTCAGAGACTTTGCCAACTTCCAGCTTATAAGTGAGGGCAACCATAATGAATATCTTTCTCCTCACGACACCATTCTCACAGGAGACAGAAGAGCCTGTGTTGCTTCTACTGTTTGCTGCGCATCACACCTAAGCAAAAACACACCGGCAGCTCATCAGCGAACAGGAGGGCACAGCCTGCCCCAGCGCTTCCTTCGGAGAACAACGCGAAGAGCGACACCACTCAGACACACCACACACCCTTGCTCCAATGATCCCTTCTGGTAGGCTCTAGTTTTACCCAGGAACGTAACTTAAAGCAATCCATTCCCCGAGCCACACGGATCCGGGACTAACAACACCAACTCACTTCTTTTTCCTTTTTTTTTAACCTCACGGAGCCCTTAACCCACTCTACCGCCCTTCGCGCCCCTCACAGGGGGTTCTCCTACGCTTTTAGAGGGCCTCCCCGAACCAGGCAGCTTTCCCACCCATCAGCCCCTCACACGAGGCATCAAAGACCGCGGCGAAAAACAAGCCTCAAAGAAAGGCGCGAGGAAGAGGAGGAACGGCCCAAAAGTCCCGCCGCCACCTCACCCGCCCGTCTCCCTCATGGCGCACGCCGCACACCGCGCTGCCGAACCCACCGCTCCCCGCTCCCTCCTATGCCGCGCGCCGCCCGCGCCTCCTTCCCGCTCACCAGCGGGCGGGGCTTGGCGCGGGGCACGCCCCCACCGCCGGGCCGCACCTTGTCTGCGAGCTGAACCTGCGCTGCTTCTGCTCTGGAGCTCCGCTTAGCGGCTGCGGGAAGGCTGCTGAGTGAGGCGCGGCACCTTTCGCTAACTACCTGTAACGCTTAACGGGGCGTCGGGTTTTTCTTCAGGTATAACAGGGAAGAAAAACTCTCGTGTTAAATGCAAATGGTGGTTAATCAAGCTGAATTTGACTGCTGAAAGCAAGTAGACTGATCAAGAGAAAAGCGATCGGTGTCTGAGAAACACAGGCTGTGCCGCGGTTTGGTGCGGCCAGGCAGAAGGAAGCAGCAGCGTGCTGCTTGTGGAGAGCTGCAGCTGTGGGCTGCTGGAAGAGCAGCATTTTTATAATGATCCTGTGATCCTAACGGCATTCCGACTTCTCGTTATCTTTAAAGACACTTGGGAGTCTTTCTTGAGGGGCAGAACTGAGGAGATTGAGTATAGTGGCCGTCTCTAAAGTGATATTCTTTCGTGGAAAACAAGATGTGCCTGTTCTTTACTAGCTATTTGCACTGAACTCTGTCAAATGTTTTCTTCTGCTATGTGTACAAGTTATCCAGATGGGGTGTTAGAAAAACAGAATCTGTTTTCTTACAGTAATATAGGATGGCGTAGTGGAAATGCTAAGTCATGGCCTGAACGTGCGATTGAGTGACTGGGAAGGCAGGGCTGTCCCAGGGGAGCTCAGGGGCATGCAGTGTGCCTGAGTGAGAGAAGGGGCAGAGCCAGGATGCATCCCTTCCCAGACCTCAGTTAACAGTTGGCAATTGGTGAGGGTATCTCATCATCTCCCCTACACCTGAGGACATTCTAGGTCGTTTAAAGATAAGCGGTTTTTTTTTTCTCTTTTTTTTCTGTTATGTTTTTGAGCAGATCCTTGCTTGCTGTAATCTGGGATCTTGCTGTTCTGCTGTCTTGTTGCGCTTTCCATTGTGTTACAGATGGCTTTTTTGTTTGTTTTATGTTAGTTTCTTTACTTTTAATTGCTGGTCTGTTCTGAAAGCGAAAGTACTCTCTATCAGGCAAATAAAGATGTGTTTTGGTATTCCTGTTTTATTAGAGATTGTTACCAACTTCTTGGTGAAGTGCATCATAATAAATAGTTATATGTAAACTGCGTGTTTTCATGCATTCTGGTCTGTAGCTCTTGTATCATTTGTGTTAAATCAATGATAGTGTTCTATGTTTTAGAACCTACTTATGGGAAGCTACATGCTAGTTACTCTTAGAGTTTTATGATGTAAATGGCTAATGAAAAGTAGCTAGGTGCTAAGTATAGGTTTTGCTGTTATTATTTCATATTCCTTTTTCTCTACAGCCTCCACATTCCACTTGGGATGCTTGTTCAGAAGTGTGCTTTTTCAGTAGAAGGTTGCCATTTTTCTTGCCATTTTTCCCTTGTAAAGAATATTTGTTCATTTGAAGTACACTTAACCAGCTTTTCACTTGGCATACAATTCATGCAAATTAAGATAATCTTTGAAGTTCTTCTTTTTCACTAGATAAATCAGATCAACTCTATGGTCATGTAGTCAGAACTACTGATAAAAATGGAGGAGTGACAATAGACTGCAGGGAGAGAAGAAGATGAGGTGATGTTTTCAGTAGCTCCCAGTGAAATTCTGTTTCTTCCACAGATAAGACTCTTCCCACTTAAACTCATATAGCAGCTCCATAATAATTTTCTCTGATCTAGGTTGTTGTGATTATTCTCCTAGACAGAAGTACATATTGCTATAATTGAGGGTAGCCATACAAGATTTGAACAAAGATAAATTTCTACTTGACTTGCAACAATAACAGCCTGGATTACTCGCTCTGGATTACTGTCACTGCCTCAATGGACAAGGGCAATGACATCAGTGGCTCTTATCTCAAGTTCAGTAAGGTCTTTGATATGGTACCCCACAACATCCTTCTCTCCAGGTTGGAAAGATAGGGATTTGATGGGTGGACTGCTTGATAGACAAAGAATGGACTGCGGGATTAAGTCCAAGCTGTAGGGATGCAGTCGACACACCAGTGGGGCAGGATGCTATCCAGAGGGACCTAGACAGGCTTGAATAGTGGACCCAGGTGAACATCATGAGGTTCAATGAAGTCAAATGCAAGATCTTGCACATGGGGTGAGGCAAATCCCATTACCAGTACAAACTGGGAGATAAAAAGATGAAGCACAGCCCTGCTGAAAAGGATCTGGTGGTACTGGTGGATGGGAAGCTGGACACAAGCCAGCAGTGTGCCCTCCCAGCCCAGAGCCAACTGTATCCTGGGCTGCATCAAAAGCAGCTCGGCCAGCAGGCTGAGGGAGGGGATCCTGCCTCTCTGCTCTGTGCTGTGAGACCTCACCTGGAGCACTGTGTCCAGGTTTGGAGTGCTCAGTACAGGAGAGATGTGGGCCTCTTGGAGAGCATCCAGAGAATGGCTACGAAGATGCTCCACAGAATGGAACACCTCTCCTATGAGGACAGGCTGAGAGAGCTGGGTTCAGCATGGAGAAGAGAAGCTGTGAGGTGACCTGAGAGCGGCCTGTTGGTGTCTAACAGGGAGCAACAGGAAAGAAGGGGACAGACCCTTTAGCAGGGTCTGTGGTGATAGAACAAGGGGAAATGGTTTCAAGCATAGAGAGGGTAGATTTAGGTTAGATATAAAGAAAAAAATCTTTTACAGTGAAGGTGGTGAGGCGATCTGTTCTAGTGATGTGGTTGACGCCTGTCCCTGGAGACTTTCAAGGCAAGTCTGGATCAGGCCCTGGGCAACCTGATCTGGCTGTGGTGTCTCTGTGCATTGCAGGGGAATTGAACTAGATGGACTTCAGAAGTCCTTTCCAAGTCTAAGGATTCTATTAGTTAGGTTAGTGCATCTTCGGAAGACAGCATACACAGAAGCTTTCATCCTTTTCCAGTACGTAAGTTGAAAAACTATTAGCTCTCCCTACAAATTACTCTGCTTTGATTCTCCTTCTTCTATTTTGTATCTAGTGAATTGTATGCATCCAGGTGTGCATATCTGTTCTACACAGCATACTTGCAAATGTGTAGTTGAAGACAACTTCTTGTCAAGTACTCAATGTTCCCATATTAAGAAGATGGCTTGACAGTTTATCATTTGGAGGACAGCAAAACAGGATTACGTGTAAGTATTACTGCAGTCAAATATTGCAATGCTAGTTTTAGAAGGTGAACTCTCATTTCTGGATATGTGAACGTTTATATGCTTAGATCCGTCTTTCAACACATACCATCTATCAGCTGATGTATTGATGATTGTACATATTTGTTTGGAGATAATTCTTTTACTAAATGAGATGTCTATGAAGAGTTGATATCTGTGAGGAAGAGCAAAGCTAGAGTTGTGTGATGATGGTATCAAGCAGTACGTATCTGTGAGTGAAAAGTTATGATTTACTCTATTTCCTTAGTCTTGCAGCTTTTTATCAGCTTCCTGTAAGTAGTTTATGTGCTGCAACCCATGAAAAGATATCTTTCTTCAGAAAGATTTTCATCTATGTGCCCTTAATTTAAATTTTAGTTGGTGAATTGCTTGATGTTTTTTTCTAGTGTGTTGATCACTGAAGAAAAATGAGGTGAAAAATGGTGACTGGAAAAAAGGAAACATCACTTCCTTTATAAGGGAGAAAGTAAGACCCAGGAAACTACAGGCCACCTCTGTGCTGGGGAAGGTCTTGGAACAAGTCCTCCCGGAAGACATGTTAGGGTGCATGAGGGATGAGCAGATAGTCTGTGACAGCCAGCATTATTTCACTTTTCACTGGGGAATGTAACGCCTGACCAATCTGTGTGAACTTCTATGATGAAGTGATGGGCAAAGGGAAGACGACTGATATTGTTGTACCTGGACTCCTACAAGGCCTTTGATATGGTCCCACACCACATTCTTATCTCTAAAATGGATGGATATAAATTTCAAGGTTGGACTACTTGGTGGATAAGGAACTGGTTGGAAAGTTGCAGCCAGAGGGTTATGGTCAATGGCTCTATGTCCAGGTGGAGGCTGGTGGCAAGCAGTGTCCTAAGGGTCTATCTCGGGACGGATAATAAGGTCCAATGTCCTTATTGGTGATGTAGATGATGTGATTGAGTGCACCCTCAGCAACTTTGCTGATGACGCAAAGGTGAGTGGTACAGTTGATGTGGCAGAAAGAAGGGATGTCATTTAGATAGACCTTGATAAACTTGAAAGATAAACCCACAAGAACCTAACAAGGTTTGACAAAGCAAAGTACATTGTTTAGCACTTGGATCAGGGTAATCCTAGATATGTATGCAGACTGGAAAAAGAACTCCTTGAGAGTGACTTTGCTGAGGTGTGTCAGGGACCTAGAGGTTCTGACCGAAGAGTGATCCCAAGGTGAAACAAAGGATTCTGGGAGAGAACACAACTGGATGCCTATGTGACTAGAACCACGGGCTGTGTGACAGTTTTAAGTGAAGCTGTATATGTGGCTACAGCTGTTTATCTTGTTTTGTAGAGAACTGACCTTGCCAGTTTATCTTGTTTTGTAAGTGATTGAGCTTGCAAGCAGGTGTTACACTTGAGCTCTGTGTCACATGCTAACCAAGTGCAGTGTGTAAGTGGGGGGAAAAAAATCTTGCAGACCCTAGGAGAGAATAAAAGTGGGGGGAGACTGCAGTGGGAGGGGGAGATGTGTGTCTTGGAACAGGGGATGTCCTATTGCACTTTTTAGTTAACCCATTGCTGGCATGTTTCTATCTCCTGCTAAATGTTTTGTCTGTTTCCAGAGGGAATGATTGTAAACCAAAAGAGAGGAGACAGTTTAAATATCAAGGGAATTTTTCACTGTGATGAGGTGCTGGAACAGGCTGCTCAGAGGTTGTGAATGCCCTGTCCCTCGTGGTACTCACAGCTGGGTTGGATG